GAGGAAACATGGTCAATCGGGCGGAAATAAAAATCGCGGAACGTAGATTCTCTAGACCAATCCGCTGCCTTCAGGATATCATCCATACGACATCCCATCGTGGAGGCCTTAGACGCCATGGCGCCTCTGACCGAATGGGCCGAAAATATTGAAGTGTCAATTCCTGCAGCGGATAGAAGGTTCTTAATCCAACGAGCTAACGTAGTCGAGGAGATCGGGAGAAACGGTTTCTTAAATGAAATAAACAATTGGGATAAATCCGATGACCTCAACAGGTGAGTGCGATCCAAGTACACTTGTAGGCAAGTTACCGGACACAGAGCAGGTCGGACTGAACACCTAGGGTAGGTCACTGACTTAGAAGACGCTTTCGTCCTCCTAGAGATGTTAAACGACACTCCCTCTGGGGTGAAGGATAACGCGTTCCAGTCCAAAGCCCTGACATCTGAAACCCTTTTGCATGAAAGGAGACACAGGAGCATAACCAATTTCCAGGATAATTGCTTCAGTGACAGGTCCTCATTAGGAGGCCATGATTCCAAGAAGTCCAGCACCACGTTAACATCCCAAAACGATGAATATCTGGATTTCGGAGGCCTAGAGTAACGAATACCCTTCAACAAACGGCACACAAAAAGATGTTGTCCAATCGGTGATCCGTCAATACCTATATGTCCGGCTGAAATGGCCGATCTATTAACATTGATAGTGCGATAGGCCAAACCAGATTCAAAACGCGTGGTCAGAAAACGGAGCACCTCCTTCAGAGGGGCAGAAAGGGGATCCAGCAGTCTGCCCACGCACCAGCCAGACCACACACGCCATGCAGCCTTGTAAGCTGTTCTGGTCCCCGGTGCCCAGGCATTCTCCAGGAGTCTTGTAGTAGCCTGCGGAACGTCCGAGACACACCAGGGTCCCCAGAAATCAACCAAGCTGTGAGCTGGAGCAGGTTCTGGTCCACTAAGTCGTGCGAGTTCCCATCCGGATCCAGAAGCACCTCTGATAGCATCCTGATCATCCGTGGGCACTCTGCCGCCATCTCCAAAAGACGTGGAAACCAAGGCTGAGTCTGCCATAGGGGAACTCTCACCACCAACGTGCATTCTTGTCCGGACAAGTATGCCAGCGTCCGAGAGATCAGGTTGAAAGGGGGAAATGCAAAGTGACGACCCCGAGGCCATATCTGCAGGAACGCGTCCACCGCCGTGGCTGATGGATCCGGTCTCCAACTGAAGTAATGGGGTAGTTGAGCGTTCAGTCTGGATGCGAACAGGTCCAGTTGTAACGGGCCCCATAGTCGATCTATCTGTCGGAAGATCGACGGTAACAGATGCCAATCTCCAGAGTCTTTCAAGTATCGCGAATTCCAGTCCGCCCATTCGTTGTCCTAACCCGGGATTCGTTGTCCAAACCCGAGAGACCGAAGGGCAGACAGGTAAACCTCCACCGACGTCCTTGCCACGTAAAGTGCAATAAGTCCCAGTGTACCTCCGCCATAGGTATAGTCAGGTATGCGTCCTTGAGGTCTAGCTTGACCATCCAATCACCTTGCTGAAGCAGATCTCTGAGGCAATGTATGCCCTCCATCTTGAAGTGATGGTAACGAAGGAATCCGTTGAGTCGCTTGAGATTGATCACCGGCCGAACACCTCCGCCTTTCTTGGCGACGAGGAACAGGTTGCTTAGAAATCCCGGATGATCGTATGGGACTTCTTGTATTGCCCGTTTGGCCAGAAGTTCCGAGATCTCCTTGGTAATCAGCCCGGACTGATCTTCCGGCAACCTCAGTTCCTGAGGTGAGTCCACCTGGATAGGGGGAGACAAAAGATCCAGGCATGGTGATCATGCCCCACATGTCGAGAAACAAAGACAACCTGCCTCCCACACTCGCCCGGAGAGAAAAACCTTTTTGAGTACTCACCGTAAGGGCGTCTGTATGAGGGTTGGCCACGTCCTCCCCGATTCTGCCATGTCCTCCCGCGGGAGGGAAAGAAGGGAGCGGGTTTGTAGTCCTGATAGGCCCGAGGGGCAGCAAAGGAACATCTTTGAGTCCGTGAGGGACCTCGATTTGCACGGCCGGGCGGACGGCTCCTATACCTCCCGGCCCTGTTGAAAACCTTTGGACCAAAAACTCTCTTGGTCTTACACGCCGCATCAGGCACCGAGGGCCTTGGGCATTCGGCCCGCAACTTACTGCGCCCTTCCTTGGATAAGGGGGTACGCATACGAAGCGCTAGATAGCTAGCTATATGCTCGGGCGGGTCCCATTCCGCCGAGCGAGGGTGGCGAAGGTCATCAGGATCGAACAGGGGGTAACCCTGCGGATCGCATATGCCTTGTTCCTCACTTGGAGGTAACGCCGAAGCGTCAGACCCCGCCTCCACGTCGGAGTCCCCTTCCTCATAAGAGGCGTAGTCAGGGGTGTCCGAAACCTGTCTCCCCACTTGGATCTGAATCAGACCCGTCATTGTCATGGGCACGCGCCCTTTTCCACTTTCTGTCCAATTTTGCCCGGCCAGCGGCTCTCTTGCGCGGTAACGCGCCATCTTGGACTGCCATAGGCACGTCAGTCAGGGCAGGTACCACCTGTGTCATATCGGGGGAGACATACTTAGTTTTGGCAAATGCCTTGCGGCTGACCTGAAGTTGCAGCGCAGGCAGGGGGCTTACCAACATAGGAGAAGCCAGGGGCTGAGTCAGGGCCTGTTGGATAGTGTGAGACAGCGATGATGAGACTGTCCCCATGGCAGAGGCCAGGGCCCTCTGCATAGTAGAATCAATAAGGGCCTGGAACTCCTGAGAGGGGGTGAGACCCCCTTCACTTGAGATAGGGGCCTGAAAGGCTTCCATGGTGGGGTAGCTGGGACAGCCAGAATCATCACCCTTAGCCTGCATGATAGACAGGAGGGTAAATAAGCTTGTGGATAAAAAAGGGGTATGTCCCTTTAAATATACACAGATAAAATATTAAGCCACAATAAATATTATGGGAGCCAGGCCACCAGTCTCAGAATACAATGTTATAACAGTATGATGGAGTAAAAACCTAAACTACAGAACAGGGGTTGAGTAACCCACAAAGCAAATACCTGTGGAGAAAAAACAGGGGTAGAGGGAGCAGACCGCCGGATCCGCCAGCAGCCACGTGTGTGAAAGAAGATGGCCGCCGCGTGCAGAGCATGCCGCGGCCCCAAGCTCCTCCCCCGCCAATGGCCGGGGAGCTCGCTGGAAAAAACACACGCGGCCGGAGGTAGATCGGGTCGCCGCACGAGGCTGCACATGCGGTCGCGAGGGGAGTAGGGAGGGCGGTCAGAGAGCACATCAGCTCCCGAGAAAACAGCTTCCCCAGTGATCCGCGGTCCCTGTCTGTGCACACAAAAGGTACAGCACAGGCAGGGAGACCGTGCAAAGCAGGGGAAGAAACAGAGACACACAAAAGGGGTGCCAAAAAACATCAAAGCAAAACACAGAAATCATATAGGGTGCACAAAGCAGCATACAAGTACATAATACATTAAATATATCAGTAGATAAACCCATAAAAACAATCCAAGATTAAAATATACAGGAGTGAAATTAATACTTAGCTGGTCTGAGGACAGCAGCAAAGAAAGAGAAAGTGGAAGTACTAAGCAAGGCATTTATGGACTGTTCCTACTAAGCTGATTGGCTGCCCTGTTACTAGGCAGATCTGGTTGTACCTGTTATTATTATTATTGCATATCTAAATTTTTTCTCTTTCAGTTTTATATTTCTCTTTGCTGCTGAGGAATAAAGTAAGAAAGAGAGAGCATAATAGTAGCCTCCGTGTCATTAATAAAATCCTTGATTTAATAATGTAGACCGTTGAAGAGACAGGCCTTCAGGTTCCAATGAGAGGAATTTGGATGAACAGCAGGGTATTAGACTATAAGCTTGATCTGGTCTGACAGGTAATCTCCAAGGATGATAGGATGGCCAACTTCTGCAGGAGGGGATACCAAGATCTTCGTGGCCATATTGAGACAATGGCAATTGCCTTCTGATATTATTTTCTTCAACAAGCATGATTTTAAAGCTAGGGGAGGAAACACATATCCAAGATTGGAATTCCATGTTTGAGACAGAGGATCTGGAGTCAGGGAATACAATCTGGAGACTTGTGCATTCCCCAATTCACCATCAGATCAATCTGGGGATATGCCCCACCTTTCCGTGATCATATTGAATAATTCTGGATGTAGGTTCCATTCTTCTTGTTGAATGCTTGTTCTACTTAGCTAGTCTTCCAGGGTGTATACGGAGCCTGGAAGATAAAGGGCATTTAGACCCAGTAGAGGTTTCTGGGCAAATTTCATTAAGGGATTCAGTTGTTTGAATAGTTGTTTGTACTTTGTGCCCCCTTGGGGATTGACATACGCTGCTACATGCCACATGGGCTGCTATTGCTTTTTTAGCATTACCCTTGTTGCTTGGTATTAAAGAGGATTAAAAGAAGTCCTGGATATCATTATATTTTATGGAAAGTTGTTTATTTATTTTATCACTGGGTGATTTTGGTGCTAAATATTTATTGTTTTGTGTGTTTGTTTTTCTTCATGTGGATACGTTAGCTACCTATACACTGGATATATATTTTGCAGGGCCCTACTTTATCACTAACATTAGAACATAGGGTCTGTTTTTATTGGCTACATATAGATTTCTTTTTTCCAATTTGACAATTTTTATTTTGTCATACTTCAAAATGCAGTATAGGGGGGTACAGAAAAAAAGGAGAGGGGGGGACATAAGCGATGTTGTTTACATTTACATCTCTCCGCCGTGTATATTTACATTTTACATTTCACAATTTACAATTTACATTTCACAATTTACAAGTTACACTTTTAACGTTTGTATTTTTTACATTCTGTATTTTCTATCGTTCCTGGGATTGCAAGTGTAGTATGAATTGCTGGTCTTTACGTCGCTACCTGTGTTTGCTGCTAGTCTAGCGCCTAGCGGGTAGTGTAGCTTCGCGGTGTGTGTGCCGTGTTGCTCGTCCATATCCTGTGAGGTTTGTTCAGACCCTATGGGACTGCATGCTGGACTTCTACAGGAGGGTGGTCCTCTCTCCCTTTGAGAGCTCTGTTCAACGCTGCCTGGTTTCTGCGTATAGGCTTAGCATATGTGTGCTACGAGCGGGATATGTGCTAGAACAGCTGTCTAGATGCTTATTGAATTGAAGCTAGATTAAGGTTTGGGGGGGCACGTCCACCAAGTGTGCTACATTGTCCCCCTGTCTCCGCAACTCCTCCAGCACTCCCCTGAGCTTCCTGGGTATATTTTCGCTAGTTTGTCTGGGACCATATACCATCTGTACATAATTTTTCTCATTATTTCTAGGTGTGTAGCGCATGGAATGCCTGTTTCGCTTGGAATGCCAGTTTCCAGTCTAGGTCCGCGAGCGGGCGTCCTATGTCTTTCTGCCAGGCTTCTCTAAAGTCCCCGTGTTTGTTTGTAGTCGCTGTATTCAGTAGTGCATATAGTTTTGACAAGATTTTTGGGGGTATGCTGTCCGTTATGCATAGCTGTTCTAAGGCGCTAATGTTTGGTGGCTCGGTGTATGTCCCCTTAAAGTGCGAGGTCACAAAGGATTTCAGTTGGAGATAAGGGAATATGTGTCTGGTGAGCAGGGAGAACTTGGTTTGCAGCACTGGGAATGGCAGTATCACGCTGCCCTCACATGCCTGTCTAAGGTGTGTGCA